GCATGTTTTCTAGGTACCATCTAATATAGCTTTTTACGCTCTATCTATTCATATGCAGCTTACCTCAGATTTTTTCTATCTTCGGAAAACATAGGCCAAAACATGATTTTTGGTTTTTTTATGCGCCAAAAATAGTTATTTTTCAGATTTTTTCGCTTTTTTTCTGAAATTGAAAAAATATCTTAGGCATTTAACATATCGTTCAAAGAGCATGAAAAGCTCTTTCGAATGGTGTGTCAATTGCTTTACGACTTTACGGTATAGCAGCGCAAGATTAAGAATTGTTCCAAAAATCCCATCTGAGTTCTTCACGGCGTCACGCGTGCGGTTATGAGAGAGGAACGGTAAGGACTTGCCAGAATAATAGGCGAAGGTCGATTATGTAAGCGACGTTTGAGTTGCAGTTTGCTTGTTGTTGGTGAGAACAAAAAACCTCAAAATGCAATAAAAATCAAGCTGCCCCATTTTTTACCTTTCGCCGTAATAGACTTCGAGAGCTGATATTGTACTTGTAATCCTCGAGCATTCGCCTTGACAAGCTGAGCATTATGCTTTTGCCGCATTCACATTTCAAGCATTCGGAATGAAGTTTATGAAGAAAAAACGAGAGGAAGTTTGTGCGTTTTCTGTCTAACAATGTCGAATAGTAGTGTGGGTACTGTATGTGATAGGCTGTGCAGAACTAGTTGCTGTTATTAGGCTACCGCAACAACGTAAATACTAAAGCTTGCAAGCACACTTCCCGGAAAGCAAGGCGAGCTTTACATCAGCGATCCAATAATCATGCTCTATGCAAAATGCAAGCCGAAGTCCAAAAGGATTAGAACACCAAATCTGTTCTCAGTTCAAAAAAATCTGCAAGCTTTCTACTGAGCATACAGTAGACACAAGACAAAATAAATGTGCTTGCTAAAATTATTCAACGGCTAGAAATCAAGGAGCAAAGTTTAGCAGAATATACAAACCTGGTCGTGTGTTATTTCTGTTATCTCTCATAATTAAGCCACAAGCACGTCAATGAGAAGTGAAGGAAAAATTAGACTGCAAACCTGCCATACTGGCAATTTTACGTGCTGAACACAAATATGAACTTAGCCGTGGGTTTGAAGTTACACTGCTGGAAGTAAGACAAAACGCCGTAATCTACCGTAATCCAACAAAACGGTCGTACCACGCATAATGAGTATGATTTTCCAAACCGGCATGCCCAGAAGATACCTTAGGCCAAGTTTTAGCTGCATCCGTAATTTGGAGCCTTTCCATGGCAAAAAGTGTTCTCAATGAAAATGAGTTTGGCCATCATTCTTTATTTCGTTTACACTTCTGACAAATCTCTTGTCCATTTGCTCATTCATAGAGCAATTGCGAGATTTAGTCATCACCCTTTTAGCACCAGTATTCTTGAAGATTGTACTCGGAAAAGAAACTGTAATGCTCGGTTCACTTATTTGTTATCGGCGATATCTTTCCCATGTTTTTGCAATTAGAATACCCTATGTTTCACTGAAGTTGGCGGCCGGAGGGCGGGGTTTAGATTGAGTACGCGAGGGATAGGTAGGCCCTGCATCTCTCGTGGTGCTCTCTAATCAATCTCTAATCAATCGACCCGCCCTCCAACCGCCAACTCCGGTGAGACAAAGGGTACTTCTTTGAGAGAAAAGATCTGTTTTGAGCGCCGTCCTCGCGAACTGTACGCATGCAATTGTGTACTGTTCTACGACAGCATGTAGTCCGCCCAAGTCGCTCCAGCAGCGATAATTGCTCTCTCTTCCCAACTCTAATTTGGTTCACTTATTGTTTTAGGACTACAGTTGACACGTAAACCCGCATCTGATTGAGGTTTGATTCAATTAGTATGCCCGCAAACTTACACAAACCTTTCGTATTGAATGTAATTGTAAGAATCATTATCAGCTTTGACGACAGCTACTTTGGAATGAGGGGGACTTCGTGAGGGACTATCATCTTTTCATTACGGTAGCACCATCCTACAAAAACATTGCACCTTCTAAGTGATCCTTTTAAGGCTTACCAAATTTTTGAAGAATTTCTACTCGCGGTTCAAAATTGAGATCACTTGCTTTTTGAGGCAGAATTTTAGACTAAACACTGCCCGTAAATAAACATTAATCAACTAATCTGTGAAACATATCGAACTTTGCGATGTTTTTTTGGCTCACTTTCAGCTGCAAGGCTAAGTTGGTAGAGAGGGGGAAGGGGGGGGGGGGATAAATACAAGAATATAAGGAGACAGAAAGCTGACATTTAGAGGTGCGACAGGGAGAGCAAAAAGTCGCTCGGAAATATGCATGAAGTATTGACAGGCCTAGCAGGATATGCCAGTATCATGTTGATCACAATTTATAGTACGTAATGATAATAATGTCAGAATTTTGATTGCATCACATCAATTGTTAAGAAATGTTAACTTAGTTTTAAAACAAAGCGAACGTTTGAGCAAACCTATCACCAAAAAATGCTGTAAACGTTCTTCAATTCTTGAATCATCTTATACCAGCTAGTTCAGAATAATGCTGAAGGAGCATAGGCATTTTTCTGATAATCTGAACAGTGTTATCATTCTAGAAATTTACTTCGCATGTTACAATAGACTTAAGGGTGATTTTGCATGTAATTCCCAAAATGTCTTTGTATGTTTAGGCAACTTACAAAGCGACAAAACACAATAAGATTTAAGGATCTAGAAATATTGTGCTTGTAGGTAGCCAAATTCGCTCAAGATATGCTAGGTAATTTTTTTGGTAATAATCGAGCTGAAATCTTTTTGCTTTTACTAGGTTGCAAAAAAAAACTGCTGTAACTTCAAGGAATCAACGCCTATTTGTGAGCTGCAAACTTTGCCACAAAAACAGTATTGTCTAAACATACACTTATTTCATTTTATTTCGGCATTTGGAATCACTAAAGTGCGGTTCATAATTATACGAACACCCAAAAATTTTTAAGTTTTCAGACTTTTTGGGAGAAACTCAATAAGCCGTTGGTACCACGCGAAAGAGCACAACCGAAAACGGTATATGATCCATAAGAATGGAAATCGATGTCAATCTTAGGAGTGTTTTTGCACCTAATGCGAATTTTGAGCGGTTCATAATTATACGAACACCTCAAACAAAGGTCCATTTTTTCATTCAAGATTGCAATCTTTCGAGTCCAAATTCTTTGTAGAGTTACAGTAACAAAGTCTGACATATCTACTACACACTGAACCCAGTGTAGTTCAAAAAGAGGATCGCTACTTTTTTCAGATGGCTCCAAATGCTTTTGGAGTGATTGCGCTCCAAATACATCCGTTCTTCTGTTTTACGCGCTCTAGTTAGCTTCTACCAAAGCTATGAGATAATATAAGCTCTTCCGATGAGTATTTTGTTTGGCGTTTGGAAAATCTTTGCGTTTTCGTGCCGTTTTGCAACCAAGTTCCATCCCAACCCTAGAGTTAGCACGATTTCGAGCCCCAAAACTCAGCTTCTGTCTTGCACAAACATTTGATATGAAGCATCTGCATTGCTTGCATGATGATGTTTCTGTTCCAAAGTTTTTGGGTTTTTTGTAGAACTGATCTTGAGGCTATGGAGCTACAAACCAAATAGGGGTGTGATTGCAATAGTAAAAACAGTGTTTTTGGTGAAATGACGTCTGCGTGGCCAAAACAAACGCTCAACGCTGCTGATTTTTTCTAGCCAAATATACAGTTTTGTGAACTTCTGCATAGTATATGCTTTTTTCATTGTACGGCTTCAGAAGCTTAGTTTTGAGGCTCGAAATCGTGCTAATTCTAGAGTTGGGATGGAACTTGGTTGAAAAACGGCACGAAAACGCAAAGATTTTCCAAGCGTCAAACGAAATACCTATCGCAAGAGCTTATTTCATCTCATAGCTTTGGTAGAAGCTAATAAGAGCCCGTAAACCACAGAAGAAAGGATGTTTTTGGAGCGCAATTACTCCAGAAGCATTTAGAGCCTTTTGAAAAAAGTAACGGTCTTCTTTTAAAGCTGCACTGGGTTCAGTGCGTAGCAGATATGTCAGACTTTGTTACTGTAACTCTACAAAAAATTTGGACTTAAATGATTGCAATCTTGAATAAAAAATGGACCTCTGTTTGAGGTGTTCGTATAATTATGAACCGCTAAAAATTCGCACTGGGCGCAAAAACACTCCTAAGATTGACATCAATTTCCATTCTTATGGATCAGAGACCGTTTTCGGTTGTGCTCTTTCGCGTGGTACCAACGGCTTTTTGAGTTTCTCCTAAAAAGTCCGAAAACATACAAAATTTTGGGTGTTCGTATAATTATGAACCGCACTTTAGTATGCACAGAAGAGAAGAGAATCAGATTGAAAAAAGAATGTTTTTCGAGCATTATTTCAGCATATTGAACCTGGAGAGTCATACGCGATGTTTGTAGATGGGTACCTACTGGGGCTGTTGATAGTTCAAGTCACAAGTTTTGGGACTCTTTTTTCTAATATTCTGAATGGTAGCAGCAATCCTACCCCAACCAAGCGGTGGTGTGCAGGACACAGCTCGCCGCCAATTTTAGAGATCAGCTTTGTGCACAGCCTTAGTTGAAGGCCGCGTCTGAGCAGATGCGAAAACATTTGTCAAACAAAGTACTTACTACGTTAATTGGTCAAGGACTTTAGATCCTTGGTATGCACTTCTTTTTGCATTTTGGGTGGATTAAATGATAAGTAGCAAATGAAATTGCTACTGAGGGAATTGATTAACTGGCAATAAAGTTTCGACCTCTGGTCTATGTGCTACATTGTGATATTGCACTGCGAATTGACGTCATCATTTTTTGTAAAACTCGCTCAGGGCAGCTCAGTCCTCATGTATACTGTTAATAGGGTGCAGTTAATATGTAAAACAAGCATTGAAGGTGGAAAAGTACAAAGATTAATATGAATTCGTTGTGCTCATTGAATCCGATTTCTGGTTGAACAGTCGTTCCCAGTGCGGCTTTATAAGCATCGAAATGGCGATCACGATGAGCATGGAACTCCTCCTCAGTGTTATTGCTGTAAATTGTATTTTATGTTCTTATTGTTCGAAGATAAAGCACTACTTGCTTTAGGTATCAGTTGTTCACGCAGATGCCTATGGTTGTGAAGGACGCATATCTGATGATCCCGGGGACTGCCCTTGTGAAAAGAGAAATGGGTCACTAGCTCTAGAAGAGCTCGAATTTCAAAAAGAAGCCAATGCTGCTTTCAAGAAAAAATGCTACCCAAATGTTACAGTAGTTAGTTCTAAGTTTTGGAATCTTGACAGAAGCAAAAACTTCAATTTTTTTTGAATGGAAAACTCAATAGTGCCGTGTTGATATAAACTTAATCTTCAATTCCAAAATTTTTAGTATTCGTGCGCCGTTGAAGAAAATACTTACACCGTAGATTACTTTAACCAGTTGATGAAAGAGTTGAATATTCATGATCCTAAAAAAATGAGAAGCTATCCGGATTATCGACCTGGCCTAGGATTTACCGACGAGCTCCTGTTCAAGGTGTACGTTTTCTTGTCTTTCTTGTTAGCTTCCTTGTTATGTCCAAAAATATAATTTAGGATAAATAGAAGTGATTTTACCAAGGAAACAAGCTCAGAAGTCGCGAAGTCGTTTATCTTTGGAGAATACAAAACAGAGGTAAATCGGATTTTATCTTTTTCAAAGTTAACAAAAAGACAATTTGTTTGCGGGCGTAATTCATCTTCACTTTAATCATAGTAGGTACACAAAATCAAATTTGTGGCATGTCAAAGCAGCTATAGTTGACTGCACGGAATCGCCCAGGTTGAACGCCTGCGGGCCAACATTGGCATGCGCATGAGTTATGATAATGCCCGTACGCGGCAGCCGCATCTCAGGCACGCTCGCGTGCTTTTACCTACAGCGATATGAGCGATTTCGCGCAGTCGACTTTAGTTAATTCGCTGCTGGTAGATAGCATTTTTGTATATTATGCAGCAACACCATAAGTTAGCCTTTCAACAGTTTGAGGACTTTACTAATGCAATACCCGTTGCATGCCACTCTGCTGTTTTATTCTGTTTCGCTGCAGTGCCTGAGTGCGGGAGTGTCTGGATTGAGAAACAAGCACGAAATTTCACCCTACTCTTAAACTTATTTCGTCTTTTTTATTCCAACGGTGCTAGCTATCTTATATATAAAGCCGAATGTCTGTTTGTCTGTATGTCTGTCTGTCTGTCTGTATGTATGTATGTACGTATGTTCCGAATAGAAAATTCCATTTCTGAACCGATCCGGACCAAACTTGGCACACATACACTACGGGCCCCCGCGGGTGTCATAGGCTACTTTTCGTCATCGATCGATATCGATTTTATCGATTTTTATCGATTTTTTTGCTGAGTTCACCTATGGGGCTGGGAGTTGGCACAGGGGGGTAATCGAGCATGGGGATTCCGAATACAATATTAGTTTTCAGAATTATCGATTACTTTTATTGATTTTATCTATTTTTTGTAAATTTTGACATGCGAGGCTGGGATTTTGCACAGGGGGGTAATCGAGCATGCTGATTACGAACACAATATTAGTTTTCAGGATCGTCCATTACTTTTATCGATTTTATCGATTTTTTTGTAAAGTTTGACCTGCGGGGCTGGGAGTTTGCACAGGGGGTAATCGAGCATGCAGATTACGAATACAATATTAGTTTTCAAGATCGTCCATTACTTTTATCGATTTTATCGATTTTTTGAAAATTTGAGCTAGGGGGCTAGAATTTGGCACAGGGGTGTAATCGAGCATGCTGATCACTCCCTTGGGGATGATCAGCATGCTCGATTACCCCCCTGTGCCAACTCCCAGCCCCCTAGCTCAAACTTTGCAAAAAAATCGATAAAATCGATAAAAGTAATCGATAATCCCGAAAACCAATATTGTATTCGGAATCCCTATGCTCGATTACCCCCCTGTGCCAACTCCCAGCCCCGTAGGTGAACTCAGCAAAAAAATCGATAAAAATCGATAAAATCGATATCGATCGATGACGAAAAGTAGCCTATGACACGCGCCGGGGCCCGATGTGTATGTGTGCCAAGTTTGGTCCGGATCGGTTCAGAAATGGAATTTTCTATTCGGAACATACGTACAGACATACAGACATACATACATACAAACAGACATTCAGCTTTATATATAAGATTATGAGTAATTTTTGTGTAATTTAGGTACTAATCTCTTAGCATACACTCAAGAGTTCCTTAAGCTTACAGCATTATTACATAACTTGTGAGAAGCTGATGGTCACAGTTAGTATATAAGCATAACGTACCGCAGCTATACATTTGCATTACATTACTGGGCACCCTGATAAGCGCTTATCAGAAACACCGCTTAACTTGCCAAGGATATAGCTTAAAGGCAGCTTCCCGGCAGATTTTGCATTTCCATCTTTTTGCATGTTTTGGGTCTTCTCGATCCGTAGATCCCGAATCTGAGCTTTAAAAGGGGTGAAAAGGCCTTTTTCGGGGCGTTTTTTTCAATTTCCAAAAAGCAGCTCGGACGAGAATTCCCAAAGGAAAGTCGGGAGGCCCTGGCACAGAGTCCCTGCTGCCTGTAGTTTTGGCTTTGTATAGCATGCACAATGCGGGAAAGCGGTTGGGGGGTCCCGCGCCGTCTAGCGGAGATTACACGTCCAAGGTGTTAGGGGAGCTAGAGGAGGAAGGGGAGCGGCGCTTGGGCCGTCCCCCTGGCTTGCAGAGTTCACATTTTCGGCGCGGAGTTGCTGTTTTGGTTCACATGGAGGGCCTCCTATCCATCAGTGTCAAAATCTGAGGTAGGTCAATCTGCCGAGCCGCTGCCTCTGATTTTTTGGCGAACCGATCCTGACCTAATTGTGTAGTATGCAGGGATCCCAAGAAGTGGTCCCATTGTTCGATTGCACCTTCTTGTCTCAAGATCGTTAGCAGACCCATGTATCTTATGGTATGAGTATGGTAAAAACTTCTAGCATTTTCTTAAACCAGCTGCTTTTCAAAAGAATCTCAAAAAATCTGGAAAGCTGTATGACAGGGGTTCTCGAACGCCAATTTTATTACTCAACTTTTTGCGAGCCAGTAGAGGTTTTTGAATCGGTACAATCTCAGTTTTAAGAAAAATTCAGCGAACATTAGCTTAATGTGAGTGGCGTTTTTGAGGTGTTTGGTTCTCTTTCAGGGAAAGATAAGGCGCTCAATGGCTTAAACCTCTTCTAATAATAGTAACAAAGAAAGATCAATGATCCATTCAATACTTTGAAACTGAGTTGAAACCAGCTTTACAAAATGATACTAATTTCGCCGAAAATGTCAAGGTAAGAAAGTTATTGCTATCAAAAAGTAGGGACATTTTTATAAAGACACACTGTGTGTTCTTCAGAAAAAAGTGAGTGTTTTAGGTAGAAGAGCTGTGCGCACTCAAAAATCCGAAGCTTGGATGTCGGGTTCACCTCAAAGGAACAGATTATGTTTTTCTTAGTTGCCTTGCCCGATATGATGACTGAAGACAAGTGACCTCATTCACACAAACAATATCATTTTGTAGACTAGATTTTTAGTAAAGTCTGCAGACAACCGCATCAAAGCATAACAAACGATTAAACACACACGTAAAAGAGAAAAAAAGCTCATGCTTAAGAAAAAAGAATAGAAGGTAACGCTCATAAATTACAATTAATACTCGGTTTTGCGCCAGCCAGCAAGGGCTGTGGCCTTGACAAAGTTTTAAGGATAGCGGAGACGGAGAAAGGTACGGTGGCTGAGGAACCAGGCAGTCCACCATTTTCATCAAGCAGCCTTTATTCTAGAGACCGCATGCATTAACATCCCCACCGGGGAGAGGATCGCAGCTTAAAAGGAAGCTTGAAGTTCTGAAGCTCCAGATATGTGGATTTCACATTGTCTGTTCATCAATAAATACTCCCGCTACTCTTCACTATGAACATAATGAACAAGAGCGAGATGCTGTAGATACAGACCGCAAACTCATTTTTTTGTATGATCCTCTGGTGATCCTCTAGGCCGATCTTCTTTACTTCAAAGTGATTTCTTTTCCTTTAAAGTTAACAAAAACATTCCAAAGTTGTGTGGATTATGACAAGCATGTTTGTAATATAAACAGCTCAAGTACAGGAGTAATGAGAATTTCGATGGACCACAAGTCGAAATTTGGGTCTATTGACTTAATATTTGGTAATTCTCTTGTTCATATCAGAAACATGCTTAAAAAGGAAGTATATTTGGTGACCGTGGTCTTTCGCACTGGGATGTATAATAATTTATGCGTCTTGGAACGCTGATTCCGAATCTGCGCTCATTGCAGTGTCCCGGCAGATTCGGGTCCTGGGGATACACGTGTGGTGGGGTTCCTGGTCACCTCATCGACCTCCAAGCGCACTCCGGCTGGGTGATGTTCCCTCTGGGCCGAGAAAATGGCCCTTGAACCGGCGCGCGCAACCCCAACTGGCGCGCGCTTGGAAGGCCTTCCCCGCCTGTTCGGCGCGGGACCTCACGAGCGCTCTCCCCTATGATGCATGCTATCCAAAGCAAGTATTACAGGCGGCAGGATCTTCGTCTAAGGACCTTCCGCAACTTTCCATTTCTCGTCCAAGCCGCTTTTCTGGAATTAGGAAAACGCCCCAAAATCGGCCTTTTCAGCCCGTTCAATGCTCAAATTCGAATTCTACGTGGCGAAAAGGCCTAAAACATGCAAAAAGGTGGAGGTGCAAAATCTGCCGGGACACTGCCTTTATACTATTCATCGTACGCATAATACTTACGAATGGGCATTGAGCAGACAACGTGATTCAGATATCTGGAGCTCCGAAATGTGAGCTTTTCTTTTAAGCTGCTATCCCCTCCCCAGCGGGGACGTCAATACATGCGGCCCTTAGTTTTCCTCGCTGTTCATCCATTCGCAAGTGTTAGCCCTACATTTTACCCATACTAACAAGGGAGCTTCCGGTATCCGTCGGCGTCCGCTCTTCCAATAGGAGTTATGAACTTTTTTGCCACCAAAACTTGCAGTTTTGATGACATGATTCAGTTTTTGTTAGGATGTTCACTTACGTACTACAAAAGAGCGTCTAAATAAAATAAAGTTCTACGTGAAGCTCACAAAAACTATCTCATTGGATTAGAGTGTAAAATGCTTGGATACTGACGATTCTGACTTCTCAGATCTCTCAAATGCATGAAAAAAGTCTAAAATTAGTTCAAAGAGTCGCGCAGCAGATAACGAACATAAATTTAGAATCAACGTTTCAAGGCGCATATACAGGGTGTCCCAAAAAGATGTGTACACTGTATGATCGTTGATAACTCTCCTGCTTTCATGTCTTTTGCCGAGCGTGAGGTATTATTCTTAAGAGCGAGGTTTAACTTAGATTTGCAGTACGGAGCGACTTATCAGCAGCTCTCCATTACTGTAGGATTACGGTAAGAATTTCGGGGAGGATTTTAAGCCATTGAAAGCGGTATTTTGCCTCAGAAAGAAAGTCAAACAAGCCAGAAACTCTTGGACCAAGTTAATCGAAGTCATTGATTATGAATATAAAAATTTCATGTCAGTACACTGTTTCTATCATGAGTTAATTCAGATTTAGGTTAGCAACTAATTTTCCATTGTTCGTCAGAAATGTGGATACGCCATCAAGAAAGCTCGGAAAACTGGTGAAAAGTTATGCAGTGAAATCAGCACGGCTGAAAATGTTGCTACACAAATTTTCAGATTTTTTTAAAAATTGTTTCATCAAAAGGCTTACTCCACAGTGAAGCTGCATGCTGAAAGTTCATACCGTGATCCTACAGTAATGAAGAGTAATTAGTGACTCGCTTCATACTGTAAATCTAAGTTTATCTTCGCTCTATAGAATGGTACCTCAAGCTCGGCAAAAGACATGAAAGCAAGAGAGTTATTAACGATCAAACAGTGTGGACATCTTTTTGGGACACTCTGTATGAGTATATATTCACTACCCTTCCATTATAAACATGTTTCTGATATTAACAAGTAAATTATCAAATATTGAGATTTTCAATAAACCCCAACTTTCGACTTATGGTTCATCACAATTTTCACGACTCGATGCATTATTCGTTTTCTTATCAAAAAATCCTTTACACTGTTGAGTTAAATAATCAGTACAACTTTGGGATGTATTTACTTTTGAAGGGATCATGAGGGGTCGTATAAAAATCTGGGAAATGATGTCCGTACAACCTCTCGCTTCTGCTCAGATGTTCATAGGAAAGGGTAGTAGAAACATTTGCGAATGGATAGACAGCGAGAAATGCAAATGTCCAGAGTTCCAGAATGAAGCCTTTTTTAAGCTGTCTTTCACGAGCAGGGACGTTAATGCATGCGGTCCTTGATCGTTCATCACATTACAAAGGCGGTGATCTCCAAATTCAATAACATTCTTGTAAAACATTGGAGAGAAGTAGCTAGAGCCCAAAGTGATAATCCACATTTCTACATAACAAGCAGAAACGCAACGATAGCAGGAGTAAGAATTGTTTATAGCAGAAGACTCTGCGTCATTGAAACAGACGTTTCAGTACAGCAGGAAAATGAAGAATGTATAGAGCCATGCACGCGTCGATGTCTATTATGAAAAGAATTAGGTACATATATCTCAGTGAACGCGAAGTTGTGAAAAGTAGTCAACTGATATTCGTTTGTTCAGCTCAATGATGAACTGGATTTTTTTTAGAGAAGTTACATTCTTAGGTACATATAAGCTGAGAGAGCTTCTATAAGTTGTGCGTATCCAACAGTTACATAGTGGAAACAGCATAGCTTCGTTTCTGTATACATTTCCGTTTTCTCATTTTCCAGATAAGAAAAAATATAGGGATGGTACACATGAGTGTCCAATGTAAAATGCTTTTTGTGAGCAAGATGGAGATATGATTGTTTTTGAACGAATATATGAGTTCGCGATTTTTTGAGCCTACAGTACTACTCAGATTTTCGAAACCTACAGTAGGTCGGAGTTGGTGCGAACTTTCGCACATCATCTTGCAGAACTTGTCTTGCTCTATCGAATGGGGCCCTGGGCCCTGGAGCCCCAGTGAGAATGGAAAATGTACTTATCGCCATAAGAAATTAGTGTAACAAGACTTATGTTGCACTAATATCTCTGTGGTGACCGAATATCAATAATTTGTCGATCAGTGTTCCTAATATTACTCCCACGTGGATACTTGTAAAAAAGAGTCTAGAAATGGCGACGGCTCGATAATCTTTCCAGCAATCTTCTGCAGATCAGTCTAGGTTGATAAGCCGCTGACAGGAAGAGTGCTTCGCCAACGCGGAAAGGAAAAAGACGTTTTTTGCATTATCTCAAGCTTACAGATGTCTTTCGCTAGCAAAGAAAGCATGTTTAGTCAAGTGGCCTTTTTAGATGGATGTAAACGCTTCTGAAGTGCATAAAACGCTGATTCCACATCTGCCAATCTACCTGCGGAACGTTTGTAAACATGAGTTATGAGCGCTTATTGGAGCAAAGAATTAAACGTGCAGTGAGGGCAAAATGAGTCGCTAAAATCGTACTAGTCCTTAAATAAAGCATAGCACCAAGTGTGACACATTTTTTATCAGTATCTACTGAATAAAGAGCTCTAATAATCGTCACTGCTCCATCAAAGCGCTATAAAAAATAGTACGACTAATTTCGTTCAACTTAATCTGTCGATAACCAATCCACATAAGACTGTCGATCTTAGTGCAAATCATGTCGAACCAAACTACATGCAGAAGGCTATCACAAACCTTAGCTATGTCTTTAGATAGAAGCGATCGTCAAATTCTTCGCTAAGATAGTAAATGTAAAGAATTTCTTGAAACCACTGATTTTGATCGAGTAAGATTAGATACTTTTGGACTCGTATTAGAAAGGACAGAGAAAGCTTTTATGTGCACTGTGGATTCGATAGAACGTGCTTTCGACCTCTGTTGGCAGATTTAGCATCAAGTATAAAATGAAATCGACGCCCGAAGTTAATTGGTCGCTGTAAGTTTTTGTGGTCTAGAAGCTTTCTGAGCGAAGAGCAAAGCAGAATTCTCGTTTATTTCTTTCTGAAAGGCTGAAGAAACATCATATTAGTGATTGTGCAGAAACACACAGCTAATAGCCCAGGCAAATTTTTGAAATCATCATAATTTAGGATACCAGGCTTATCGAGAAAAACCGATAAAGCTGACAATCTCATCAATCTTACTTTTACTTCTTACTCCAAGTCTAACCCGCTCAAGTATTTCGATTGCACTGGCTTGCACATATCAAGAAACAAATGTCCTAATTATCAGCCGTAACGGCGAGTAGAAATTGCTGTGATTTTCTTAAAACATGTTCTGTAGTCTGTTTTTTAGCCCAATTTTCGCTTCGTTCATGATATACGGTGTCTGTGCGTTAGGTAACAGGCTCAATTGTTTCTATGATTTTGACTAATGTAGAGAATGGCACGGAGGTTTGGCAAAATTAGAGCTTGTCAAAGTAGA